ACCTATTCATTGACTCCCCTTTTCCCCTCAAATTTCCCCCCCCCCCCGAAACCTTCAGGATACCCCCCCCCGACCTTAATATCCACAAATACCTTCTGGATGACTTATTACAACACACACACACAGACACACATACATTAACACTATCCCTGGGACCTGAACTTCATTTCGTTTACTTTGACCATTTCTTGCTGTAACTGGAAAAGTTCGAGAAGATTTTTGAAACGTTTCAGAAATGAAAAATAAATTAAAGTTAATAAAAGCCTACATTTTTTAGTTTAATGTCCCTTTATTCCCGTAAGTTCGTATATTTGTCTGTCTACATACTATGCGCCTTTGTCCGTCTATACGTCTCTGTCCGTCAGTCTATGAGTCTCTGTCTGCCTGTCTGAACGTCAGTCTGTGTATCGTATGTCCGTCGGTCTCCATGTCTCTGTCCGTCTGTCTATATATTTTGTCCGTCCCTCTATGTCCGTCTATATGGTTTTGTCCGTCTATAACTATAATATGTCTGTCAAAGTTTCATTCTTAGACCATCAGCTGAACCATCATAACAGTGGTTCCCAATCCGTTGTGTGTTCCAATGGCCACAAATGACCATCGGGCAAAATAGTGTGGCCATTCGAATCTTTCTTTCTTTCACTAAATTGTTGTTAAAAAATTTTTTTTGTGAAGTTTCCGTCACAATTTTTTTGTCGACACCAATCTGGCATTTTTGTTATTTACTTTGAGGGGCTGAATTATTTTGTGCTTTGTTAAAGAATGTTGTGACACAATTTAAACAATCGATATGACAGATGGACTGAAAACTTTTAAATGGAATAGCATTTAGTTCAACCCTTTTTTTTTTCTTCTCAAAATCTCAATAAATATTGGGGCTGAGCCGGAAATGTTGCGTATTAGCACACCAGGCACATACACAGACCCCGGGGGGGGGGGGGGGGGGGGAGGAGGAGGAGAGACGAGTTTATTTTCTTTAACAGTGTTTTCAGTCAGGCATCCCTCCGGGAGAGACGTCACGTGAAATGTTTTATTGCAATTGTTTCTCTGCTTTCTTTGTTTCAATTGTTGGGGGCTCAACTTAAAACCGACAAAATATAACCAGGTGGGTGAATTTTTTTTTTTTTTAATTCTCAGGATTAACCTACAACCCCCCCCCCTCTTCAGACCCCTCCCACCTTCTTAGCCCTTATTTCAGCTTCCCTCCACCCCCGATCAAAATTACAGTGCCAACACATTTCTGTATACAAAAAGCTCCCCCTCCCTTTTTCGAACATTCTTTACACCCGTTTATCAATTTCAAATTATAAATCTGGTCGTGGGTCGCCAATCACGTGGCAGATGTTGTAAAGGGGTCATGGCACTAAAAAATATTGACATCTGCTGGATTATGCAGGATTCTATTACAAAGCTAATATTGTTTTGAATTTGAAGCATTCAATGTTGATGCTTTTGTGATCGCTACCAGTTCTATACATGTTCAACTGTGATGCCTTTGCGATCGCTACTGGTTCTATACATGTTCAACTTTGATGTCTTTGTGATCGCTACCAGTTCTATACATGTTCAACTGTAATGCCTTTGCGATCGCTACTGGCTCTATACATGTTCAACTTTGATGTCTTTGTGATCGTTACCGGTTCGATACATGTTCAACTGTGATGCCTTTGTGATCGCTATTGGATCTGTGCATTCACGTGTCACCTCTCCAAGTGGGATGGATTGAACTGATTCAATAAAATGAGGCGGTACCTTTTTTTTGAACACCCGGACCCACCGGGTATTTCTGACGTCAGAACGACTTGGTTCAGCCCCTATAAATATCCCCACCACTATGCTAGGTGCCCTTCTTGACATTGGATTAAGTTTTGCCTGTTTCAGCGGCCTCATCATTGATAACACTTACGTTATTGTTCAGTTGTTCAGTGTTGACCTGGATGCTGAGGAACAAATTCATTCAGCGAGACGATTCCAGCGGAAATGAAATAAAGATAATGTTGAATGAGCCCAAAGGTAGTTTTGAATGATCCCTAATATGCTGAGTTCGATTTATTGATGCTCTTTATACTTAATAATTAAAAAAAAAAAGAAAGTAATATATTTATGTTTTATTATCTTTTAATGCTTCCAGTGGGGGTCATTGAGGTCAGTAGTGCAGCCATGTTCTAATCTCGGCATACAGTGTGTTCCCAGGACAGTCGGTGCTTGGCTTCATGTCTCTGTGACCTCTCAGCGTGTACGTGCTGTTGATTTTTCCCAAAGACACGCCGCAGTCGATCAGTTGTCTCGCCGTGTCCATCTGTACCTTGGGCGGGAGGTGGTTGGTGAAGTCACCGGCCAAACAGAATCCTGGGACAGGGAATAGAGATACTCTTAGTTATACTTAACCTGCGTTTCTAATCGTGGGCACACAGTATATTTCTTGGTATACTAAACCTGGGTTAAACTGGGCCCTTAGTTACTTAACCTGGGTTAACGTGGACCCTCAGTTACTAAACCTGGGTTAACGTGGACCCTCAGTTACTTAACCTGGGTTAACGTGGACCCTCAGTTACTTAACCTGGGTTAACGTGGACCCTCAGTTACTAAACCTGGGTTAACGTGGGCCAGTGGCGACGCCATCAAATTTAAAATGGCGGGTCCCTTGCAGGTCTTTAAAAAATTTGGCAGGTCCCAAATAAATGGACTAAAAATAAAATTTATTTATTAAGTAATATTTATTAATCTACCAACTTAACCCAAAGTTTACATACATATAAAGGCATTTAAAATGGAAGTTCTCTTACATGTAATGTAGTTTACGCTTAATGAGCATGTATACAATATTAGTGGCTAATAAAAATTTACCAGATCCTTTGCCAGGTCCCAAGTTTTTTTACCAGGTCCTGGGATCCGACGGGACCTGGTGTAGCGTCGCCTCTGACGGAGGGCCCTCAGTTACTAAACCTGGGTTAATGTGGGCCCTCAGTTACTAAACCTGGGTTAATGTGGGCCCACATTTACTAAACCTGGGTTAACGTGGGCCCTCAGGCACTAAACATGGGTTAACGTGGGCCCTCAGTCACTAAACCTGGGTTAACGTGGGCCCTCAGTTACTAAACCTGGGTTAACGTGGGCCCTCAGTTACTAAACCTGGGTTAACGTGGGCCCTCAGTTACTAAACCTTGGTTAACGTGAGCCCTCAGTGGACACACACACTATTGTTAAGGATGTGCAAAGGACATGATGTGCTAACGTTGAATTGAGGAAAAAAATCACAAAGGTAATTGGATGTGCGATAAGAAAATGAAAGTACAAAGTGCACTTTGATTTGATGTTAAGGGGAAATGTGAGAGATAACAAAATTAAAATCTTTAAAGAAATGAAAACTGCCAGCAGGTAAACTAGTTGTTTGGAGCCATGACGGGAGAGTTTGTCAAAACTTTGGGACCATATCTTCAAGCAGACTGACTTTAAATAACAGTGCCCTTGTGTTTAGCAGTTCTAGAATGGGATCTGTTGGATTTCTCCCAATGTTGCGTATACGTTGTATGGAATCGATCATCCAAACGTTGTCAAGTTTCACCGATGTAACACTTCTGACAGTGAAGGGACAAAATGCAGTGACCCCTCCCCCTTTTGTGTTTTGCACAGTAAATAACGTTACTTTTTTTTTTCCTTATAAAATGGGCAAGTCTTAAAACGCCCACGTTTACATGGTAGGGTTCCATGACATGACGAATGAACGAGATAAGGAGGTTGGCTTGTAAGAATTGGTTTAGCTCTACCACCATTCGGACTAAACAGCACAGGCGATGATGTTTGAAGGAGCTGTCTGTTGGTGTGGCCCCCTCTCTGCACATATAATGCTGGCATCACTTGCGATGGCGATCCTGGAGTGAAAGTCGCTGGTGCGCACCTCGCATGAGAACTTGATTGGAGGTTTTCTTTGGTCTTCCGTAGTGCTGAACTTTATTTCCCACATCTCAGTGTTTGACTCTTTATTTTCATCGCCAGCCGGAACAGTGATCAGTGATGCTCTCCCATTCGCCGAAATCGATGTTGACTTCCTCCCTTTTTCTGGTAAACACATCTTAATATAGCACAGCCACGGCCTTATGAAATGTCTTGTCCCTTCTGCGCATTCTCATTACTGCCGGTCTTTCGGAGTACGACATGCCTCCACTCTCTTCACATGGCCTGATGGGCCAGTGAAGGCAAATGCTTTGACCGCGAGTATGACCTACGCTGCGCTAGGGTCAAGTACTAAACTGTGTTACCAAAATAGAACAATGGCTTTGTCAGTTCTACACGTTCTACAATTTTATCTGTCGTTTGCGTTCTTATTAAATATCAACATTTCAACTTTCGTTTATGTCTTTATAAATTAGTTGTCGAAATCGATACCCGGTTTAAAAACGAATTCCGAAAACCGATAACCGGTTTGGTTTAAAAAAACAAACTGTATTAACTTCCCTAATGAAAAAATATATATGTTTTTAGTCCACTTACTATATGTGCGTTTTCCAGACTGATTTTTAACAAAGTTTAGAAAAAAAGATAATTTAAAAATCTGAAGCATTTCAAAATAAACAGTTATTATGGGCTGAAAGATGTCTGTATGTGATGTAGTTAATTTAAATTATTGGACGTTTAATTCGCCAAGCGTCCACGGTTATAGCGAACTATTTCAGTTTCCTGCCAATCATTTGAAGGGAAATAAATGTCCTTCCTTACCCAAACCAACAGTGTTGTAACCGAGGGTGTGGGCGCCAACTCTGTCCCACCCGCGCCCTTCATACACAGAGCCGTCTCCGCCAATCACAAAGCTGTAGCCGATGTCATCCCAGCCTGTGAAAATAAATAGTACAATTAATTCCATTCCATCATTGTTAACTCGTTGACGTCACAGTGTAAGCGTGAAATTTATTACTTTATTAAAACAACTGTAAAGTTAAAATTCGCAACCGTCATTTTACGGAACAACATGATGCAGATATCGCACAACTACATATTCAGAATCATACAGCAAACCTTCACCAGTGCTACAATTTACAGCAAACAACAAACCAATGAAGCACTGTAACAAACTCCTCCACCAGTGAAGCACCATACAACGACCCTCTACCCTAAGAGGCACCATTCAACAAACCCTTCACCTATAAAGCACCATAAAACAAACCCTTCACCTATGAAGCACCATACAACAAACCCCTCACCTATAAAGCACCATAAAACAAACCCTTCACCTATGAAGCACCATACAACAAACCCCTTACCTATGAAGCACCATACAACAAACCCCTCACCTATGAAGCACCATACAACAAACCTCGTCCATCAATGTGGAAGTCCTGATAGCCTCTCACCACCGCGGCACAGTCGCTCTTGGAGAAACAATCCCTGCCAGAGGAGTGATGAATGAAAGCATACGGCACGGGCTGGTGGACTAGATATTCTATGGATTTGCTGGGTCTGGCATTCCACTCGGCTCTGCTGATGATCGCAGGACACGCCGCTGCCAGACGACATGGTCAAGAAATGAGCAAAGCAGTTACCCCCCCCCCCCCCCCCATGATCGCAGGACCCGCCGCTGCCAGACGACCTGGTCAAGAAATGAGCAAAGCAGTTACCCCCCCCCCCCCCTGAAATAAGTCATGCAAACAAACTTGGACAATGAACATCTTTGACAAGCTCTTGGGTTAATACGTGGTCAATGGATAGGTTTTAGATGGTCAATGGATAGGTTTTAGATGGTCAATGGATAGTTTTAGATGGTCAATGGATAGTTTTTAGATGGTCAATGGATAGGTTTTAGATGGTCAATGGATAGGTTTTAGATGGTCAATGGATAGGTTTTAGATGGTCAATGGATAGGTTTTAGATGGTCAATGGATAGGTTTTAGATGGTCATGGCAAGGTTTTAGATGGTCAATGGGTAGGTTTTAGATGGTCAATGGATAGGATGTAGATGGTCAATGGATAGGTTTTAGATGGTCAATGGATAGGTTTTAGATGGTCATGGCAATGTTTTAGATGGTCAATGGGTAGGTTTTAGATGGTCAATGGATAGGATTTAGATGGTCAATGGATAGGTTTTAGATGGTCAATGGATAGGTTTCAGATGGTCAATGGATAGGTTTTAGATAGTCTATGGACATTTTTAAATGGCCCTTGGATAAGATTTAGTTGGTCGAATGACAGGTTTGAGAACCTTAATCGACAGGTTGTAGGCGGCAAATTGATTTATAATAAATTGCCCATCGAGAGTATTTCCCCTCCATAGAATATTAATTGTTTCCAATACTTCATGTCCCATGGATCCATTTGTACAAGAAGCAGGACAACATATCAGTCCGTCTCAAACACGGACCGTCTCAGAGAACTACTTTTAGCTGATTGTTGTTTTTTTTTTAGTTACTATATCACAAGACTAGAGGAGTTGATCTGTAATAAAAAGAATGCCGTGTTTTGCAGATGATCTGATCATTTCGGAGCTCGGGGAAAAGATCAAAATCTACTGCAGACATTCTAATAGCAGCCGATAATTGCAACCGGGGTCGCACCCCTGAAATGTGGCAATTCCCTGTTGACAAATGGAAAGGATGTTTTAAAAATTAGAATTCCGGGTACGTAGCCATGTCAGAGAACCGAACGGCCTTTAGTCAGAAGCGAAGCCATTCACCCGCAGCAGTGGCGTCCTCTGAATATTTTTTTTTTTTTTTTAATCTTCTAGTTTTACTGCGGTACAAAGAGAAACAACCCTTGGAATGCCTTTTCATTTTCAGAGTTCGTCACGCTGCAACCCATGGAACCAAATCAGTGGTTCTCAACCTTTCTAATGCCGAGACCCTTTATTATAGTTCCTCATTTTGTGGCGACCCCAACCACACAATTATTTTCGATGATACTTCATAAGTGTAGAGTCTATGTGTTTTCAGATGGTCTTAGGCGACCCCTGTGAAAGGCTCTTGCGACCCCCAAAGGGGTCGCGACCCACATGTTGAGAACCACTGAACCAAATGAAAAATGTTTAATCGTGCAGTTGCGCTTTACGAACTGGGTCTATAGTCTGCGAATCGTTTGACTTAAGTTCGCATTCCCTAGTAATTTAATGTCTGAGGTGGTAGTGATTTAATAAAGTTTTATTTTAAAAGTTAAGAACTAAGATTTAGACTTTACAATTTAAAATATGTATTTAAAAAAGATTTAGGCTTAGGTAAAATAATTATTTAAAAAATAGACCTTACTATTTTAAAAAGCTATTTAAAAAAATAGACCCTACTATTTAAAAGAGTTATAGAAAAAGACTTTGACCTTACTATTTAAAAGAGTTATAGAAAAAGACTTTGACCTTACTATTTAAAAGAGTTATAGAAAAGGATTTAAACCTTACTATTTAAAAGAGTTATAGAAAAAGACTTGAACCTTACTATTTAAAAGAGTTATAGAAAAAGACTTTGACCTTACTATTTAAAAGAGTTGTAGAAAAAGATTTAAACCTTACTATTTAAAAGAGTTATAGAAAAAGATTTAAACCTTACTATTTAAAAGAGTTATAGAAAAAGACTTTGACCTTACTATTTAAAAGAGTTGTAGAAAAAAGATTTAAACCTTACTATTTAAAAGAGTTATAGAAAAAGACTTGAACCTTACTATTTAAAAGAGTTATAGAAAAAGACTTTGACCTTACTATTTAAAAGAGTTGTAGAAAAAGATTTAAACCTTACTATTTAAAAGAGTTATAGAAAAAGATTTAAACCTTACTATTTAAAAGAGTTATAGAAAAAGACTTTGACCTTACTATTTAAAAGAGTTGTAGAAAAAAGATTTAAACCTTACTATTTAAAAGAGTTATAGAAAAAGATTTAAAATTTACTATTTAAAAGAGTTATAGAAAAAAAGACTTAGACCTTACTAGTTAAAAGAGTTTTTTTTAAAAGATTTAGACCTACCATACAAAAGCTTTATTTGAGCTACGAGACACACGGTGACAAAAATTGAACTCCATGAAACAGTTGACATTTTTTTTACCATTGGATCTGACATACCACCTGTTCAGAACTGAAAAGACAAGGACGGTGAATGTCGTAGATCCGGATGGTATTTTCCAACTGATTCAGAAACTAGTTCAATATCAGGGGCGACGATCAGCCCCCCCCCACCCATTTTTTCCCCCCAAAAGCACCACACAAATAATAACAATAATCTGACGTCAACATGAATAACAAAAAATAAGTTATATTAAACGATTAAAATAAAAACAGCGTGTCCCAAATTAGCTTTATCTTAGGTCAGATACACAGTACTGTTTGTCAGATATACAGTTCTGATTGTTAGATATTCAGTTCTGCTTTTTAGATATAGGCCTACAGTTCTGATTGTTAGATATTCAGTTATGCTTGTTAGATATACAGTGCTGTTTGTTGAACATCCAGTTCTGTTTGTTAGATATACAGTTCTGTTTGTTAGATATAAAATTCTGTTTGTTAGATAGACAGGTCTGCTTGTTAGATATCCAGTTCTGTTTGTTAGCTATACATTTCTGTTTGTTAGATATATAGCTTTGATTTATGACTTAATTTGACAAGGCTAATACGGTGATAGACTTTCTTCCTTAACAATATTAACAAGTGTATTTCAAGACTAATGAGGAATGTAGTTTTCATGAGAAATGTTGTCTGTAAATAAGAAGATATCATGAGCAGTTAGTTTCTCAAAGGTAATCGATCCTGGCGAAAAGCCAAAAGTCAATGGTTTTTTAAGGCAAACCATTATGATTATATATGTATGAAGTGTAAAAATGATTTGGAGGTCAATCAAGCGTTTTGCATAATTCAAACATGCCCCACCCCTTTTTCCACTCCATGCGCCACCCCTTTTCTCCACTCCACTCCATGTCCCATCCCTTTTCCGCACTCCATGCCCCATCCCTTTTCTCCACTCCATGCCCCACCCCTTTTCTCCACTCAATGCCCCACCCCTTTTCTCCACTCCATGCCCCACACCTTTTCTCTACTCAATGCCCCACCCCTTTTCTCAACTCCATGCCTCACCCCTTTTCTCTACTCCATGTTCCACCTCTTTTCCCCATTCCAGGCCATACCCCTTTTCCGCACTCCATGCCCTACCCCTTTTCTCCACTCCATGCCCCACCCCTTTTCTCCCACTCCATGCCCCTATCCATGCGTCCTCCTCCTTCCCTCTCCACTAATCGTCTGAAATTAAAATCATGTGATCGTTCCTCTGCCTTCTCTTGTAACAGTCTGACCTCATAATTGATGAAATTGTTCCTCTGCCATCTCTTGTAACTGTCTGACCTCATAATTGATAAAATTGTTCCTCTGCCTTCTCTTGTAACTGTCTGACCTCATAATTGATGAAATAGTTCCTCTGCCTTCTCTTGTAACTGTCTGACCTCATAATTGATGAAATAGTTCCTCTGCCATCTCTTGTAACTGTCTGACCTCATAATTGATAAAATTGTTCCTCTGCCTTCTCTTGTAACTGTCTGACCTCATAATTGATAAAATTGTTCCTCTGCCTTCTCTTGTAACTGTCTGACCTCATAATTGATGAAATAGTTCCTCTGCCTTCTCTTGTAACTGTCTGACCTCATAATTGATAAAATTGTTCCTCTGCCTTCTCTTGTAACTGTCTGACCTCATAATTGATAAAATTGTTCCTCTGCCTTCTCTTGTAACTGTCTGACCTCATAATTGATGAAATAGTTCCTCTGCCTTCTCTTGTAACTGTCTGACCTCATAATTGATGAAATAGTTCCTCTGCCTTCTCTTGTAACTGTCTGACCTCATAATTGATGAAATAGTTCCTCTGTCTTCTCTTGTAACTGTCTGACCTCATAATTGATGAAATAGTTCCTCTGTCTTCTCTTGTAACTGTCTGACCTCATAATTGATGAAATAGTTCCTCTGTCTTCTCTTGTAACTGTCTGACCTCATAATTGATGAAATAGTTCCTCTGTCTTCTCTTGTAACTGTCTGACCTCATAATTGATGAAATAGTTCCTCTGTCTTCTCTTGTAACTGTCTGACCTCATAATTGATGAAATAGTTCCTCTGTCTTCTCTTGTAACTGTCTGACCTCATAATTGATGAAATAGTTCCTCTGTCTTCTCTTGTAACTGTCTGACCTCATAATTGATGAAATAGTTCCTGTGCCTTCTCTTGTAACTGTCTGACCTCATAATTGATGAAATAGTTCCTCTGCCTTCTCTTTTAACTGTCTGACCTCATAATTGATGAAATAGTTCCTCTGCCTTCTCTTGTAACTGTCTGACCCCATAATTGATGAAATAGTTCCTCTGCCTTCTCTTGTAACTGTCTGACCTCATAATTGATGAAATAGTTCATCTGTCTTCTCTTGTAACTGTCTGACCTCATAATTGATGAAATAGTTCATCTGTCTTCTCTTGTAACTGTCTGACCTCATAATTGATGAAGTAGTTCCTCTGCCTTCTCTAGTAACTGTCTGACCTCATAATTGATGAAATAGTTCCTCTGTCTTCTCTTGTCACTGTCTGACCTCATAATTGATGAAATAGTTCCTCTGCCTTCTCTTGTCACTGTCTGAACTCATAATTGATGAAATAGTTCCTCTGCCTTCTCTTGTAACTGTCTGACCTCATAATTGATGAAATAGTTCCTCTGTCTTCTCTTGTAACTGTCTGACCTCATAATTGATGAAATAGTTCCTCTGCCTTCTCTTGTAACTGTCTGACCTCATAATTGATGAAATAGTTCCTCTGCCATCTCTTGTAACTGTCTGACCTCATAATTGATGAAATAGTTCCTCTGCCTTGTCTTGTCAAAGTCTGACATCATACTAAATGAAATAGTTCCCCTGTCTTCTCTTGTCACTGTCTGACCTCATAATTGATGAAATTGTTCCTCTGTCTTCTCTTGTAACTGTCTGACCTCATAATTGATGAAATAGTTCCCCTGTCTTCTCTTGTAACTGTCTGACCTCATAATTGATGAAATAGTTCCTCTGTCTTCTCTTGTCAAAGTCTGACATCATACTAAATGAAATAGTTCCCCTGTCTTCTCTTGTCACTGTCTGACCTCATAATTGATGAAATAGTTCCTCTGTCTTCTCTTGTCAAAGTCTGACATCATACTAAATGAAATAGTTCCCCTGTCTTCTCTTGTCACTGTCTGACCTCATAATTAATGAAATAGTTCCTCTGTCTTCTCTTGTCAAAGTCTGACATCATAATTAATGAAATAGTTCCCCTGTCTTCTCTAATTACTGTCTGACATCATAATTAATGAAATAGTTCCTCTGTCTTCTCTTGTCAAAGTCTGACATCATAATTAATGAAATAGTTCCCCTGTCTTCTCTAGTTACTGTCTGACATCATAATTAATTAAATAGTTACTCTGTCTTCTCTAGTTACTGTATGACATCATTCTTAATGAAATAGTCCCCCTGTCTTCTCTTGTCAAAGTCTGACATCATAATTAATGAAATAGCTCCTCTGCCTTCTCTTGTAACTGTCTGACCTCATAATTAATGAAATAGTTCCTCTGCCTTCTCTTCTGTTGCTCCCTTTTGCTCCGCCAATTTAAAATAGTCCGTGTTGCGTCACGTGACCTTCATACAGGCTTATTTTTGCTTATCTCATCCATGTTCTTATTTATCTTAAAGGGTAAACATCACAATGAAAGGATCTTAGTTGTTTACCACCGTTTAAGCTTATTTAAGGACAACACATGCTGATGACGTTAAGCTCATGTAATCAAATAGCACACATAGGCCCACTGATGAGATTAAGCTCATGTAATCAAATAGCACACATAGGCCCACTGATGAGATTAAGCTCATGTACTTAAATAGCACGCATACTGATGAGGTTAAGCGCATGTACTTAAATAGCACACACTGATAAGGTTAAGCTCATGTAATAGCACACATATTGATGAGGTTAAGCTCATGTAATTACTCACATAATGATGAGATGAAGCTCTTATATTTTCATTTAACTGTTATAGCCCAGCCCCGAGTATAGACTTATATAAATCTTATTTTTTTGGCTCAACACGGGGTAGTGTCGTAGTCTCCACTATTGTGTATTTTTATGACGTCACCAGTTAGCTTGGCGTAATATGCTACCACTCCTCCCCCCACCTCCCTTGATTGGGAAAGTGCGTTTGCGATTTCCAGGAGGTCTACATAGAGGGAGAAAGTCTACTCTCTTGCGATTGAATTTCTAGATTTTCTATTCTAGACTTACCTGAGATATCAGAGATACAAAAGCTTGCAAGACTTTGACTCTATACATATTCAAGTGATGTAAGTTAATAGCGTTTATATATTTGATTTTGTCATTAATACCAGAATTGTTAGCATAATTAAACTGTTACTTGTAATTAGCATTATTTGAGTTATCATTCTTTCTTTATTATATTTAATCAATGGTATTGCCCCTTTTCTATTGTACTGTTTGTGGACAAGCCATCTAAAATCAACAGATTAAATTTGTTCAACCTTATAACGGTAGGTAACAACACATAATGTTGTGTTAAGCTCATGAAGTGACAACACACAGAGATGCATTTAAGCTCATAATCTGACATTACACATACTGATATGTTAAGCTAATGACTAATTACATTTCATCACACCTACAAATAATTTTAAGCTCATGTTGTGAATTGTGACAAACATACTATAGGCCTACTGACGAGGTTAAGCGGACGTAGTGGCACCCCCAAATAGAATGCTACTGAAACAGATGTTCTTCGTGTCAGCTACACGCATAGGATGCTATTGAAACAGTTGTTCTTCGTGTCAGCTACACGCATAGGATGCAACTGAAACAGTTGTTCTTTGTGTCAGCTACACGCATAGGATGCTATTTAAACAGCTGTTCTTCGTGTCAGCTACACGCATAGGATGCTATTGAAACAGTTGTTCTTCTTGTCAGCTACACGCATAGGATGCTATTGAAACAGTTGTTCTTCGTGTCAGCTACACGCATAGGATGCTATTGAAACAGTTGTTCTTCGTGTCAGCTACACGCATAGGATGCTACTGAAACAGTTGTTCTTTGTGTCAGCTACACGCATAGGATGCTATTTAAACAGCTGTTCTTCTTGTCAGCTACAC